ATGATACACAAGCACTCTACCACTGATATAATCCCAGCCCTTGACTTTTAAATTTCTCCTCTTGGGCTGAGATTGTGGCTCAGCGGTAGAGCGCTTGCCTTGCACAGGTGGGACCCAGGTTCCCACCTGTGCAAGGCAAATAAAAGCATTGTGTTGTGTCCATCTACACCTAAAAAATAAATATTTTTTAAAAAAACTTATAAATTTCTCCTCTTTGTTTCATCCATATTGTGTAGTATCCCTTGATTAAATGTTAAATAATATTAACCCCCCTATTCTATTTCCCATCTTTATTTTTCTCAGGGCTGGAGATGGAACCCAGGGCCCCATGCATGGCAGGCAAGCTCTCTATGACTGAGCTACACCCTCAGCCCCCTACTTCCCATCTTCTATCAACTGTTTATTTACTTTTCTTATTAAGGCTGTTAACACAAATTCTGTTATGTAATCATATTTAAATTTCCCATACTATGTGTATACACTGATCCTAAAAGTTGAGAACTACTAAATAGCATTCATAATATTATGTAACTATATGAATTTTGCTCACTTAAGGGTCAAATAGTGTGCCCTAGCATTTCCTTCTCATTTCCTTCTCAGTGGGTTTAATGCCCAGTGCCACTTGAAGAAAGTGGTTGGAGTGTCTATGCCAAGTAAATCCTCTTCTCTAGGTTAAAAATTATTTCCCCTGAGAACTTTAAAGACATTAACTCTATTGTTTCCTTGCATCAGTGCTTTTTTTTTTAAAAAAAATGATTCTTATTCCTTAGGTGGGGACATTTTTCTTTCTCTTTATGGAAACTTTTAGAATCTTCTCTTCATGATTGTTTTACCATTTCATAATGATGTCTAGGAGTGTATACTTTTTCCCCTTCACACCTGGAAACACTCAGTGGACCCTTTCAATTCAGAGAAACCATTTGATACAAAGAAACTTTCTTAATACTTTAAAGGCTATGCAGAGTTATGAGTACAGATATTGAGAGATCAGGCTATTGGAGGTTAAATTACAATCATTCACTGTGTAGCTTTGTAGCTTTGAGCAAGTTATTTAAAATTTGTGCTTTCTTTTTTTAATGTGGTGATTTGTATTCAGCTAATTTATTTTCTTAAAATTACACCCAAAATGCAAATGAAGTTGTTTAATTGCTCAAAAATTATTTTGAACAGTGTATGTATTCCTTTATCCAACAAATCAGCTAACACACACACACACACACACACACACACACCTATATATTCAGAAACTTTTCCTTGAATATATGTATATATTTGTGCAATAAAGAATACTTTTGCTTAAACAAAAAGCCTTTCTCAATTCTAGATTTTGCTTTCAAAAATTAGTATATATACTAGGCAGTGGTGCACACCTATAATCCTGATGGCTCAGGAGGCTGAGGCAGGAGGATTGCAAGTTCAAAGCCAGCCTCAGCAACTGCAAGGCACTAAGCAACTCAGTGAGACCCTGTCTCTAAATAAAATACAAAATAGGGCTAGGGATGTGTCTCATTGGTTGAGTGCTCCTGAGTTCAATCCCCAGTATCCCCCCACAAAAAATTAGTACATGGCTCTTAAGATAGTTGATGTTGTCATTAAAAAATCATAACACTTTTGTGACCTAATTTATGTGCCTACTATTAATGTTATAGCCATGCCTAAGCTTAATTTTTCCCACATTTAATTGGTACATTATAGGGTCTGAGGGAATGGCAAACAGGGAGAGTGTGCCCAGTCGTTCATGAAAACAGGGCTCCCGGGAGCAGTTTTTTTTTTTCTTTAATTAAATTTTTTTAAATATATTTTTTTAGTTGTTGATGGACATGACACCTTTATTTTATTTATTTAGGTGGTGCTGAGGTTCAAACCCAGTGCCTCACACATGCTAGGCAATTGTTCTACCACTGAGCCACAGCCCCAACCCCTCAGTGTAGTTTTGATTTGCATTTCCTTAATTGCTAATGATGTCAAACATTTTTTCATATATTTGTCAGCCATTCGTATTTCTTCTTTTGAGAAGTGTCTGTTTAATTCATGTGCTCATTTATTAATTGGGTTACTTGATTTTTTTTGAGTTCTTTGTCTATTCCAGATATTCGTCCTCTGTCAAAAGAGTAGCCAGAAAAGAGTTTCTCCCATTCTGAAGTTTCTCTCTTCACATTCCTAATTGTTTCCTTTGCTGTTCAGAAGCCTAATGCCATTCCATTTATTAGCTCTTGACATTATGTCCTGAGCTTTAGAGGTCCTATTGAGAAAGTTGTTGCCTGTACTTATATGCTGTAGTGTTAACCCTATGTTTTCTCCTAGGAGTTGCATAACTCATAGTTGCATTTGTGCTTTCTTTTGAAGGAGTTCAAAGCATACCACACCAAATATGCTGGTATCTTGGCCATATTGAGTTAAAGACATTGAAAAACAGTGGGTGCAAATAAATAAAGCAAAACAAAAACAAACAAACGAGCAAACAAAAACATTCTGATCTTCCTTCTTTTTCTTAAAAGCTGAAGATGAAATTCCTGTAAAAGATGTTATATCTCTGCCACAAGGAAAGTATCATTCTTATCATCAAGCCCAGGAAATGAGCCTGAGGGAAATCTGTACCAGTAAACCTAGTTAAAATAACCCTTCTCCAACAGTTACTCAGTTCTCTACCCAGTTAACTACCCAGTCCAAGTGCCTTTGCCTTTTTACATTTTCACAGTGTACAGCTTTGTCCAATTCAATATATAACTCTGTGTCTTTGGATCTTCATTTCCTTATGAAGGCACTTGTGCTACATAAAGCTTGCTTTAACTAAATTTCTGTTTTTCTCCTGTTGATCTTTGAGTCAATTTAATTCTCAGACCCAGCCAAAAACTCCTAAGAGGGTAGAAATAAGTTTGTCTCCCTACCCGTTCTTATCTGAAATATGAGAATAGTAAGAGTATTACTACACTATTATGTTACAAAGGATTTGTGTAAAAATTAAAGTAAGAATTAAAGTTTATATTTAGAAAGCTTTATAAAGTGCCTGGTAAATAACACATAATCAATAAATGTTACATTATGTTTTCATGATTACTTTTTGTTTTTACTCCTCTTTTTTGGAGCTCCAGAAAAGTTGGACCTCCCAAACTGATCCTCCATTTTGCTTTTATTCTCCCATATTTTCTAAGTTTCTGATTTTCTAAAATAACTGTTTTAGTACTTGGAATCTGGCTAAAATATTGAGTTCTAATACTTTTATTTTTAGTACCCAGGGACACTGTGCTACATCCACAACCCTTTTAGTTTTTTATTTTGATATAGGGTCTCCCTAAATTGCCTAGGTTGGCTTTGAACTTGTGATCCTCCTGCCTTAGCCTCCTGAGTGGCTGGGATTACAGATGTGCACCATCACACCCAGCTCTAATAGTCTTAATGTAAAGACAGGTGGAGAGCTCATGACTGAAGCTGCTAATTGAGACAGACTTTTGAGCAACCCTGACTTCCATCCCCTCTTTGTTCTTGTCTTCCCCAGTGTCTGCTAACTGAACCCATCGGGGTCCAGTCAAATGGATTGATTCTTCTTCACTGAATTTCCTTTCTGGTATTACTTCTTTTCTCTTTTTTATCCATCCATAGGCTTCCATTCTTTCCCACATTCCAGAAAGCTTTTCCTTCCATTCCCTTTACCTTTATCAGTTTATTGGTTGGGTGTTATTTATACGTTTGTGCAAATTTATGTTTGTGCTCGGTCTACTATCCTGAATTAGAAACTTTATCTTTCCAAAGTCATTGATACAGAGTATTTAATTAGTTAACCCTCTTTGTTAACTATTTCCCTTGAGGTAGAAATCATGCTGGATAGGATCATTTTGTAATGTCCTGACCTTCAGTCTAGTTGCCCTGTGTATCCTTGATTAGACTGACCAAATCATAGCAGTCAGAAGTGAGGTACTCTTGATCTCTAAAAGCAAGTTTTCATTGATTACTGTCCTGTGTGTTACAGTACCTTATTTAAAGCTTAGTTTTGAACTTTTGTAGGGGGTGAGGACCAGAGTAGGTATTCAATAAATGCATTTTAATCTTGACTTCATTCTGGACTTGTTTAAGACTCAGTAAAACCTACTTCAGAGGTAGAGATGACTAGGAATGGACTAACAGATAATGATTTTCATAAAATGTGACTTAGTTTATTATAATGACATTGTCAGGCCAAATTGACTTTAGATATGAAAATGTTTTAATACTCTACATAACAGTATTTCCTAAATTATGTTTTGTGGTTCACCAGACTTGAAAGATAATGTAAAAAAAAAGTGAAATGAACAGAAAGTGGGGAAAACAGCATTCTTTACTCTCCTGCTGGAAATTCATCATGCTTATCTTGGAATAAGGGTGTTGAGAGTGCTACAGGTTAAAAAATTTTGTGTAACTTAACTTTTGCAAAACATATGTAACCACTCCCCCTGTTTATTTGATCAGTTATCTACAAACATTACACAAAACTAGTGTTCCTCAGAGTACACTTTGAGAAATACTGCCATTTAGTATTATCTACTATTGGGTGGAGAGGCACTCAACCACTGAGCCACATCCCCAGCCCTATTCTTATTTTATTTAGAGACAGGGTTTCACTAAGTTGCTTAGCACCTCACCATTGCTGAGTCTGGCTTTGAACTTGTGATTCTCCTTCCTCAGCCTCCGGAGCCACTGGGATTACAGGTGTGTACCACCATGCCCAGCTATCTATTATTTTAATAGTAAGGATTTTTAAAATTTGGTGGTAGCAATGAGAAGAATGCATCTAAGTTTATGACCTGAGGCTGGTGTTATTAATGATGTGTACAATTGTCATTATGTTATATTAAACACACTTGAAATAGAGCTATCCACTAGGGAGAAATAACAAGTTTGTCAAGGGCTGCCCATTGCTGTGTGTATATTTTTAACTGTTAAAGTAATTTTCTCAGGAGGTGTCAGCATCTCCAATATATCTTAATTTGATAGCAAGAAAGAGGTTTTACCACTGCTAACCTTACCTATTCCAGAAGAAGCCTTTTGCATCTTGCTGTGTTTGACAGGCAAAATCAGTGGACATGTTGGTTTTTGGAAGTCACTCCTCTGGGTGCTCTTAGTATCATAGGGTGGTTGGAAGACATGTTCCAGTGCTTTACTATATGACCACCAATCACTCTTTATAGAAAAAAAAAAATTGGAAACACAAAATTGAATACCATAGGACATTTTCATGTGTTATTTGATGTTTATGGATGTTCAGTAATTCAACAAGTTATTGTCTATTCTAGTACTAAAAACGAGTTATAAAATCCAGGAATATCTTTTCACAGGGACACTATTTCTTAAAAGACAGCTAAAAATAAATCATCATATTTTTAGTTAAAATACAGCTGCTCAATACTTAAACTACCTTCTATTAACAGATGAAGTGCTAAAAATCAACAAAATAATTTTATCTGTTTTGCACATAATTTTAATATAATACGTACACATACACATAAGAACATGATTGATTGATTGATTGATTTAATTTATTTTATTTTGGGATGGAACAAAGGCCCTCTTTTATATGCTAGATCTATACCACTGAGTTACATTCCCAGCTCTTAAACATGATTTAATCTAAAAATTATATTCTATACTTTTTTTAGAGAGAGAGAGAATTTTTTAATATTTATTTTTCAGTTTTCAGTGGACACAATATCTTTATTTTATTTTTATGTGGTGTTGAGGATGGAACCCAGTGCCCCGCGCACGCCAGGCCAGCGCGTTACCGCTTAAGCCAACATCTCCAGCTCAATATTCTATACTTTTTAAACATGATAATACAAATAAGGTGTCATCATCTAAAAATGGCAGTTTTCAAAGTTTTTAGTCCATGATCCACACCATGACATAAATTTTATATCATGCAAGGACACACAATACTACACATACATAAAACTGAAAAAAAATTCATAAAATATTTATTTCTATTAGTTTTCAAGGTACTCAGCCATTTTTCTATAATGTTATTTCTCTTCTTTTCATTTCATAGTGCTGACTGCAATTCACATCGATTTATAATTCACTAATAACTCAGTTTGAATGTTTCCAATAATACTGAAATTTTGATATTAAAACCTACCTAAGTACCTAGGAAAGTGATAGATTTTTCATTAGTACATACATACCATTTCATTAATACATACACAACTCTTAGAAGTTGGGAAAGCAGTGAGGGAAACTGTTACTCAGGTTAATTCTGACCAAACTTTTAAAACTGTTTGTGGGGTAGAAAGAAAACCTTGGGAAAAGGAACTGTGACGACTGAGTTCCTAGGCATTATTAGGGAATATTCCTTGGGCTAAGAAAGTTAGATCTGCCTGGGCTGGGGATGTAGCTGAGTGGTAGAACCCTTGACTAGAAAGTAGTTCTGCCTAAAAAAAACAGCGATGATTCCATAATCAAAGACTTTTAAAATATGAATTAAGTGAAATGAATATGTGATTCTAATAATAAAATTCAGACAATACAATTGAGGCTACATTGATTCAAAAAGAACAGGCATCTAAAGAAACCTATGTGGGTTCAAAGAGAGTCATCTCTCAAATGAGATTAGTTTCTAAAAAGACAGGCACATGTAAGAGGTACAATATCAAACTTAAAATGTAATGGAGTCGACTTGTTAGAAGACTTCAGCAGCTTAGAAATAGATGAAATATGCTAAAGGCACCAAAAATAAGTTTTGGGGTTTTTTTCCTTTTTTTTTTTACTTTTTAGATTAAGAAATCAAAGAAATGCTAACAATTTGGAAAGGAGTACACTATTCAAAGCTAAAACATCAGAACAACTCAACTTCAGGTTCTTTGTTAATGAAAACTACCTTAAGACTGAAAATGACAGGATGAACACATACCAAAGAGGGAACTAAGAACTGAATACTTGTTACTTTATTTAGTGCCAGTTTTTAGGCCAATGACAAATGGTAACTAGGAGTTATGGAAGAACAGGTAATTGTAAATAGGTGATTTCTGCAGAGATCATAGAAATTTTAGAAACTAGGGAATTTTGGAGAACAGGAAATATTGGCTAATGCCTCATGTATTTTCAGAATGGGCCAAAAGGTGGATTTTTAAAACTGAGACAAATTAATATGGATCCTAAGAAAATTCTAGAGCAGATTACTAAACAGATGGTGTCTTCTCACTATCTGGCTAAAAATAGTCACATCTTACTGTTGTCAGAGTGCCTGATTCTTGTAGCTCTTTCTCCTCCACTCCAATTCATAATTATGACAGTGCTTAATATGTTTCAAGGTATAATATTTATAGGCCTTATCTTACCACAATTCTACAAGGTAGATACATCCACTTTACAATGAGAAGACTAGCAGATTAAGTAACTTTCCCAAGGCACATCACCAGCAGGCAGCACAATTCAATCCCCCACCTATCTGGACATAACCCTAATTTCTGTGCTCCATTGCTACATCAAATCTCCTGTAGAATGCTAAACCAAATAAGAATAGACTTAATTACATTATTTCAAAAGTGACTTTAAGTGTCTTAATCTGTTTTGTGCAGCTTTAATGAATATAATTTTATTGGCTCACAGTTCTGTAGGCTCATAAGTCTGATATCAAGGAGCCATAGTGTGGGCAGGTTTGACAATTCTAATTCCGAGTTGGCCTCTAGAATGCTCATGTAGTTTGGAGATGTAAGAGTAAAAGGAAGGCAAAGGGGAGTTGACCTTGTCCTTTTATTACAGAATTAATCCCAGTCACGAAGGTGAATGGTCTAATCACCTCTTAACAGTCTCACCTGTTAATACTGTTACAATGGCAATTACATTTCTACATATGTTTTGTAAGGCACAAACTTTCAAACCATAGCAGTCAGTATTCTAAGAAAGTTCTATGAAAGGTTATAAGACATACACTTTGTAGTTAGTATATCTACATTTATTGATCAGAAATTTGTTTTACTAATATCCAAGTTACTGGGAAAGGGATACTGGGAAGATGCTTGGTGGACTCCAATTTTTTTCTCAAATGAATATAATACAAAAACTATTCCTTTTTTTAAAAAAAATTTGTAATTGTAGATGGACAGCATGCCTTTATTTATTTTTGTATGCAGTGCTGAAGATTGAACCCAGTGCCTCACCCATGCTAGACAAGTGCTCTGCCACTGAGTCACAGCCTCAGTCTACAAAACTATTCTTAAAGCAGAGAACCAGTAACCTTTCAAGCAAAATTTGTTGAATTGAGAATATTATTACAATTGTCCTTTAGTTTCACAGATATAAAGGAAATAACAAATAATTTTTTCCTAAAATTTGATGGATGACTTTAAGATGCTGTAATTGGTAAAAGAGTTTTGATGAGTGTTAAAACTAGATGCATCTTCACTTCAACTGAATGAAATATTACAATTCAAAAGATATTATCTTTCCTATTTCCGGAGAGTCTTCCCTATGCTTGGAAAGTATGGGTTGTCCCTTAAGAGTGAGAACATGACTCCCATGCATGGGCACACGCCTTTTTGGTCCAAGCACTTATGCATAAGAGTTTATGAGATGGAAGAAATAGATGGAGCTTGCTTTTGTCTTCACCTCTCACTGAAGAGAAAGACTAATAAAATATTTACTGTTCTGCGGCTCATCACTAACATTGGATTTGAGAAGGGTAGATATGGAAATATTTGAGACAAAATTGGGAAGTCATCTAGAGTGATGGGTAGGCTTTGGGGGACAGATTACATTTGCAGATTATAAGAGGGGGCTTTGCCTAAAGAGACAATTGTTCCCAAATCAAAACTTTGGACCCAGAGAGAAAAAGAAGCCTGCACTCAGGTCTGTACCCACATTTTAAGGCCTATCCCCTTTCCTAGGTTAGGACTGATAGTCACTAGGGTTCCCTGGTTAGGACATGCCTGGAGATTCCTGGGTAGAACTCCTTCTAACCCCTCAGTCCTGGAAAGTCTAATGTCCACTGCACTGTGGGCCCATCAGTTACATTGAGAAGCCAGTGTGAGGGAATCTATGTAATACACCTGTTATCCCCAAGTTATCAGAAATGTCTTAGTAAACACTATTTTATTTTCTATTCTTTGGGAAATTATGGGAGAATCCTCAGAAGAAAAGTGGTAAAAACAAGCGGAGAATCCTGGAGAAATGAGTTAAGAGAAAGCAAGAGGTAGTAAGCTGGGCAGTCAGGAGTAGCTTGGCCAAGACGGTTGTGGTGACAGCAGTCATCTGTGACACATAAAATCCTCTTTGGGGATTCCTAAATATAGTGAAAGTAAAATTGTTTTGCTATAGATATCAGGAATGCTAAAAATGTCTCTTTTAAAGTAATTTATAATGTCTCCTATAACAGTTACTTACCTGTGTTCTGTGAAACACTAGGTCCCGGGCATATTAGTAGATGTTATGCAAAAAGAGGCTCCCATAGTTAAATAAATTTGAGAACTCGTCAGATAAGCAAAGTTAAACAAGTTTATCACAGAATTTCTCAGAACCTTTATATACCAATGTAAACTGTGAAGCTCTAAGAAAGGTAAATAAAAGGACATGTTTTACAAAACATATTCGATTTTGGAAATTTATTTTTTCAAGCATGTAGGCAAGCGTTAGTGCTCTGAAAAATGTACTTTTGAAAATATCAGCTTACTACAATTTCTTTTAAATGATATCAATATTTAGAAAACCAAGATAACTGGGCTAAAATACTTCATTTCGCTTTTTCCAGTGCCACCAATTTTATGTCTTTAGTTAGAAATGTATAAAGGATAATTTCATTTAAAAATCTTATAAACAAATAAAACCAACCAATCTAGTGTTGAGTTCTAAAGATATTATCTTAGCAAAATGTATAAAACAGATGCCAGTAAATATATTTAGACAACTTCATTTTATCTCTTAAAGCCAGCTATACTATATATATATAT